AAGACTATATTGGATGAAACAATGACAAAATCAACTATGATGAGGATATTAGTCTAACATCTTAGAAAGAATGTCTATAATCTGTCAAGTGGAATATACAAAAACAATCCTTTAGTGATTTTGTCCCTTTTATATATATATATATATATATATATATATATATATATATATATATATATACATGATCTCAACCTTTTATTTCTTTAACTCATTGGAATCATGTAACTGACTAAATATTGCAGTACTAGTTGACCTTTGACTGCATATATGAAATTGATATCTTGTTTTTACTATTTTTTTCCCCTTTCTGCAACGTTTAACCATTATGCCTAAAAAAAAAAAAATGGTATTTCTATTGGTACTGCTATTACTATATACAACTGACACTCCTTTCGCAACAATAATGGTATCCCAAATTTCCAGGAACCAGTTCTATAAAAGCATGTAATCTTTAGAAACCAATTCTGCTTATTTTCTTTCAATGAAAGAATGGAAACACATCCCTTTATATAGTATCAAAAAGAATTGATAATTTAATAGAAAACATTTATTTATTAAGATACTTCCAGAGTGAAATTCTGTTCTCATCATATTTCCATTTAGAAGTCTGATGCTTTTTGACTCTAGTGTTATCAGCTATGTTATGGTTTCTTAGCCACATTCCAACTGAATTGTTGTAGTCTTAAAGATCCAATGGAAGACCTATCAAATTTATGACTAGAAGATTTGCCATATTTTTAACTTAAAGACAATTTCTTTTGTCAGAATAAATTATGTTCATCACAGAACCATGGCAGAACTTACAGCAATGGTATTAATTATATTTTTAACTTATTATTTATAAGATTATTTTAAGATAATCCACCCGGTTCACTAAGCTTTTATTATTTAAAAAAATTGGTCACAAGAACTGGTAGGATGCCACCACTGCTTGGCAATGTTTATTAAAAAAATTATAGAAATATGTGAACCAAGTACCATGTGATATTTATTATTTATTTTTTCTGTAGCATACCTACAAACAATAATGCTTATGTCCCCATTCACATAAATACTGTATGTTGGTCTGCAGTTGGAGATTCATTATGAAATTCACTTGACTCACTTCTAGCAGTTGACTTTTCTTCTACGTACCGCTTGCAAATCTTATGTGTGTTGTTCTTGTCCTAAGTATTATCATTCATTACCAACATTTGGGGGATTATTCAGTAACCTTCCCTAGGTTACAACAATTTTATAAAGAAATAAATTTGAAAATTCTTTTTATTCAAAAATATTTACAAATCTACAAAATTTTCAAAATATATGACTCAACTACAATGCAATATTTATTTATCATTTTATAAATAACTATGAAAACAAGAAAAAAATATCTATGAATTATAGAACAAGAAAACTTAAATATGATATTTTGAACATTTTAATATATTTTCTTCTCAAATTATTTTAAATCTCAGTCCATCAATTACTTTACCTCCTTCAGACTATTTTTTGAAAAAAATTTTAAATCATTGCTAATTTTTCTAAAAGAAAATCTGCCTAAAAATTTGTCAGCCAAGTGCTGTAACTGATGAAATTTTAAATGCCAAGTGGACCTTGACTAAAGCAATTTGGGAAGCTTGCAAATGGTGCTTTTTGGAATGATTAGCAAAACATCGGCCAATTGCCAATCAATTCAAACTTTATAAAATGGTAAATAATAAAGATTTCATTACTATCGGTTCACATATTTTTATAATTTAGTAAATTTTCATAAATTGGTAACTGATAAACATTGCATTGTATTAAGTTGGTTTGCACTTTTAGAATGTTGTAAATATAAAATTATTATTGTAAATAAGCAGTCTAATAGGGTTTAATGTTTTTGTTGTCATTTCTCAAGAACAAAGAAAATGTATAAATTCACTCCCATATGTTTGGGTTTTATTAAAGTACTAATCATTGCTTTTAAAAACAGTCAACATTATTGAGGTAATGAAGAAAGTATAAAATAATAGTGGTGTCAAGGGAAAAACCAGCCTTTTGACACTTTTTTGTTTTTTTTGGCTATGAAGGTCAAAAGTTGGCTTTTCTCCACATATATATATATATATATATATATATATATATATATATATATTCCATATATATATATTTTTGTTTTTTGTCCTATTTCACAGCTGGTATTTTCAGTTTTTGCCTTTGAACATCCCAAAGGCACAAGCATCATCTGGAATACAACAAAAAAGTCAGATGAAAAATAAACAAATACATGTGTATTATTCTATGAATTTTGTATTCAATTTTGGAAACGATGACTTCTAAACTTAGTGTTACTCATCTATTTATTATGTCTTACCTGGTAACTGAATGTGTAAAAAAAAAAAAAAAAAATTCTATACAATGTGTGTTTTGTTATGCAAAAGGGCTTCATTGGATAAGTGTTCTTATTGATATATATCTCATATTATGTAGGAGGTTGGGGAGAGATGATATAAATGGAAACATTGTTTATCATTATGTGCCAAGAAGAAACACTGAAAACGTGGAATGCTAAATTTAAAATTTTCCTATTTTGGGCCATTGAGGTGTCTAAAAATTTAGCATTCATACATAGTGTATAATTATAATGAATCTTTCCATTATATCTCCCCCTTTCTCTCTCTCACACACACACATATATATATAACATTATAGTTTTAAGGTATGCTATATTTATGAGCAAAAGTGCTCAATATCAGAGATAGAGCATATATGAATATAAAAGTGGACATTCAGGTCAACACCCAGTGGCGACAGTCTCTTTCATGCTTGAACACACTCTTCAGGCCATATATATTGTTATAGCATACCTTTTAAAATTATATTATCATTTATATATAATTCCATTCATGACAACTGATAAAGTCCTTCTGGAAGATGAAATGGTGTTTTTCCACTTTGTCATTCATTTGCTTAAGTGTTCTGAAATATAGAAATCATATTCTCCTAAAGGTCTTGTCACTAACATTTTGGTGACCTGTTGGGGTTTGGAATCTGGAGGTGGTCATTGTATTTTATTTACTCCTCCATGATTTGTTTATATACCTAAACAATCCTGTTATCTAACTAATTTTTAATGCACTGTTAATATTATATGAGAATGTTTGATCAGCTGGTTCAATATTAAACAAGTTTATTTTATTTTTGGGCTTTACTTTGATTGAAAAAAAATAAATGAAAATGTGTCACACAGAATGAGGAATGGATAGCAGATTTGGGTTATTTTTCATTTCTAACCATTTTGCTGCAGACATATCAATGGTTAGCATTAATGGAATGGTAAGCTGCCAAGACGTGGTTTTATGTTTGACCAATTAGTGTTACTTTATTCTCAATTTCACCCTAATTGCTCTGTCATTCAGAGTTTATTGACCCAAACATTGAGACAAAAAAAAAGCAACAATATGGAATTGTTATAAATTATCAATTTCACCCTAATTGCTCTGTCATTCAGAGTTTATTGACAGTTTATGGAATTGTTATAAAAAGAACAAAACTGTTTAAATGAAAGAAAATCATTTTGCTTTTTATCAATTTTATCTTTGTAAGCAAAATATTAAATAATGCCTTGATGCTGATTTGCAAAGTGTCTTTTTTTTTTTTTTTTCTTCTTTTTTTTTAAACTCTTTGTTGGCATAAAAACCCTTTTTTAATGTAAAAATTCTTTTAAACTACTAATAAATCAACTAATACACTAATTTTTCCAAAACTGAAAATAAGGCCAAAGTTCATACTAAAGTTAATTATGGTTAATTTTGACATTTCCAAGTTTTAATGATACATGAATAGGTGTTCGTTATGTTTAAGAGTTTAGAATGGAATTGGAAAACAACAAATTCCAGATGGGATGGTTTATGTTGACTTTGTATTCATGCCCTTGGGAAAGACAAGAATTAATTTCTTTACTCCTGCTAGCTAGAAGTAAATTGGAGGGCAGTTGTGATCTTTTTTTATAAGGCAGTCTAACTTGGGTGTCAGCAATTTGGCCTTGTAATAAAAAAAAAAAAATATTCACTTGTTAATGAAAAACCACAATAGCATCACTTAATGTGGTCATAGCTCAATTCTTCAGAAGAAATCAAAGAATAAACAATTACTATTGTATTTATTTTTACTGGCCAAGTACAGGTTTAATTAAATAATTTAAAAAAAAAAGTTTTTTTTAATTATACCGAAAATGAAAAGTAACCATTAAAATTCAAATTTCTATAAACACTGGTCAATTCCCTGAAAGTGAATCTGGCATACAAAGCAGTTATGAAAAGTTCTCAGCCTAACCAAGCAACTCCTCTAAAAAAAAAAAAAATAATAAATCTGATGTCAGATCTTAGGAAGTGAGTCAGGCTGATAATTTTTCAGCATGCTCTTGCAGAAATCTTTTTGCTTTGTGATGTATCCACGTCTTTCCAGCTGTAGACACAAAAATATTCTTTTGAGAGAGAGGATAAAATGGATATAGTATGTCTTTTTGTTTTTTTTTTTTTCTTGTTTTTTCTTAACCTTTCCCCCTCACTATTTTTTCTTAAATCTCTTAATGCAGATTTATACTGTTTGTATCACTTCATATTGTACTCACCATTTAAAAACTAACTTCCTTTCCTCATTTAAATATTTATTTGGTTGCTACTTTTCAGTGTAGCAATAAAATAAAAAAAAAGATAGGGAAATAAACATAAAAAATTTTTTTTTTCTTTAAAGTTGAAATTTTTGATTCAAATTTTTAACATGTTTTCAGTTTATATGGTACTGTATTAATTTTTTTTTGTTAAACTATGACCAAAGGTTTAACTATAAGTAAAGTTTTAATTCATATGTTGTATTTTTATTTTTTAATTAAAAATGTAATGTTTGCTCTCCAAATTTAAATGGAATATATTCAGCAATTCAAGCCATTTTTATTTATTTATTTTTTTTTTAATCTGTTTTTTAATATTGTTGATTTCATTCAAATTTTACCCTTTTCTTTATTTTCTCTTTAGGATTGGAAGAAACATTGGTTTGTTCTTGATGCAAATTCCTTAAGATATTTTGAAGATGCAAAAGCTGAAGAAAATAATGTTTTGGATGGAAAAATAGATTTGTCAACATGTTACTTGATTGAAGAGGTTGAAGTCCTTCGTAATTATGGCTTCTCTATCAAGGTATGCACAACTGATTAAGTATTTAGATTCATGGCAGTATCTTGGGTTTTAGGATAATTCCATTGTACTAATAGCCTCATCTTTACCGATTTCAACACAATATTTCAATTATCATGTAATCAGTAATCTTTCAACTTTCTGGCGCAATACTTTTTCATTCAGAGTAGTTTTCTCTTGCAAGGATTGAAGTCAACAATTTATTCCTTTGTGCTAAAATGGTTACTACCTAAATATTTGTCTCACTTAGGATTTTGAAGGTAAACACGATCTCTCCTATGGCTGATTGTACAATTCATGTGACTTAAGAATTTTAGTTATTGTATACTTTTACAGACTGAAATGTCCTCGTGAGTGACTTTAGGCAACTGAGAGGATGTTTTTTTTTTTTTTTAATCAAGTCACCATCTGTAGACTGGTTTTTCTTAAGGCTTGAAAGCCCAATCTGCTCTGTTATGTAAACCAGTGATGGGGTAAAAGAGATAGATTCCTATCTTTCCCAAAGATATTTGTGTGAAAGGACATAACTCAGTTGGAATTTGAAATTGGCTTACTGATTTCTTTTTCTGAGTCACTAATCATTACTAATCATGATTTAGTGAACTATTAAGAATTGAACTTGAAACCATTACCCATTAAGATAATTTAATTAATATAATTAATAATTAATTGGATCTTAGAATAAAACAACACTTACCCCCCCCAGGATTTTGAATCCGGATGACAGGAAAAGCCAACTAACCAATACTTCTGGCTCTGCTATTGCAGAGCATGTAATAAATAGCAGGAATCGTGTTTTTGATTTTAGTGGTGACTGTTTTTCGATTTTTTTCTAGGCCCCAATCCTCATATCACCTCAAGGTTCTAGAGTCCTTGTATATCAGATCCCGTGGGCCTTCCCGTTGTAAACAGAGGGAATGCTTACTGGGTCTGAATGTTATTGGACTCTAGTTTCTTAATTTTTTTTTTTTTTTTTTTTTTCCTTCGTCATTATATTAATTTAATTTACACGCTTATATATTTTTTATATCCCAGAAAATAAACTTGATAAGTCCTGGGACGAAATTGATTGTTCTTTTTTAGCTTTTTAAAATTCCATATAAATTTTGACTATTCCTAGCTATCATTAAATTTTGTACCATAAGAAAACTTATTTAAATTAATATAATTTACTGGATTGTTTTACTATTAATTCTAAGAAGTATGCTTTTTTTTTTTTTTTTTTACTTCTGATGTAAATAGTGTTCAAATAGCCACTCTTAAAAACAACTAGATTCAGATTTTAAAAAAATAAGTATCCTCTGAGAAAACAGTCATGAAATCTAGTTTTTAAGGATTCCAACAGATGAGGGGTCAGAGGAAACTGCAGCTTTAACCACTAGTGTCAACCTTTATATATATTTATTGATAAAAGTACTCAATATCAAGGATAAAGTGTATAAATATAAAAGTGGGCATTGAGGTCAACAACAAGTGACAGTCTATTTTGTTGTGTGCCCTTTTGCACAAATAATTTTTTTTTTTTTATATAGTTTAAGACTTTATAGTTAAGAATCTGTGACCTGGACTCAAAATCTTTCAGCTTAAATAATATTTGGGTGAACTGCTTTTAGGAAACAAAGCTATACTGCAATCAAGACTACCAATCCACCAAAGATATACATTGTCTATATTCTTCCAGTAGTTTTATATAGTTTAGACTGAGTAGATATGGACTCAAAAACTTTTGTTTCAAATAGAAGCCTTCCATAACCATATGATGCATGTCATTATGGATCATAAGCTGAAATGGAAAATGAAAAAAAAACTACTCTTAGAAACAGAAACAATTTACTCTCCCTTCTTTGATACCATCTATAGCAAATCCTTGAAATTTGGCATTAAAGATCTAATTTACTTCTTTATTTCCTGGAAAAAGAAGTTCAGAGGAAATTGATTTACCATCTATAGCAAATCAACCTTTTAACTATTTATTTTATTTAAATATTATTATATTATGTGGGGTTATATTATTATATTATATTATTATATTATATTATTATATTATTAAATTATATTATTTATTATATTATATTATTATATTATTTATATTATATTTTATTATTATTATATTATATTATTATATTATATTATTAGTTAATTATTTTATATTATTATTTTATTATTATTATATTATTATATTATATTATTATATTATATTATTATATTATATTATTATATTATATTATTATATTATATTATTATTTATATTATTATTTATATTATTATTATATTATTATATTATTTATATTATTATTTATTATATTATATTATTATTTATATTATTATATTATATTATTATTTATATTATTATATTATATTATATTATATTATATTATTATATTATATTATTATATTATATTATTATATTATTTATTATATTATATTATTATTATTTATATTATTATATTATATTATTATATTATATTATTTATATTATTATTATATTATTATATTATTATTATATTTATTATATTATATTATTATATATATTATTATTATTATTATATTATTATTATATTATATTATTATTTATATTATTATATTATATTATTATATTATATTATTATATTATTATTATTATATTATATTATATTATTTATATTATATTATTATATTATATTATTATATTATATTATTATATTATTTATTATATTATATTATTATATTATTATTATATTATATTATTATATTATATTATTATATTATATTATTATATTATTATAAATATTATTATATTATATTATTTTATAAAATTATATTTATGCATCATGGAAAAAAAAAAAAATAAAATTAAAAAAAAAAAAATTAAATTAAAAATATCGAAAAAAATACTTTTTTTCCCATACATTTTCCACCCAAAATATATATATATATATATATATATATATATATATATAGTCTCAAAAGAATGAATGTCCCTTAAATGCCGATTGCTTACTGAACAAATTCCAAGCCACTGTAAAATCAGCAGATCATGAAGAAAAAAATATACATCCGATTAACTGAAGGACCCCGTAAACAAAGAAATTATGTGCACAAAACATCCTTTACAAATAGTAAATACAAGAACAGAACAATGCTTTATAAACATATCTGGGAGATTAAAGACAATTCAAACCAAAAATATCATGGAAAATAAGGGAAAAAAAATTAGCTTACATCAATCAATTTAAAAACTGTAAACTTTACTTGGAGGAAAAACTAGCCATAATTATCTTCCCAGACCAAAACAAACTATTAAATAAATGAGCAGAACTCATCTCAAAACTGTTTTAAAATTGTTATAACTTTGTATTGTGTGTATAGATTTTAATTCTTGTACACTAATAAAAGAATAAGTAATATTTTGATGTAATGCATTACGTTTTGCATGCATGTTTTGACGTCAAAAAATTGAAACCCGAAATAAAAAAACAAATACATTAAAAAATACAAAAATAATTCAACGTCCTTTAACTTTCATTACTCTTTGTGGAGTTCTGGGGTGCAATAAGAAGCAAAATTGCTAAGAAGGCTTTCATTTTGTCAAAAAAAGTGACTTGTTTCCTTGTTGACAAGTGTTTATTTATAGCAACCATCTCAAGACAACAGAATGCGCCTAGTGGCAAAGGGAGAGAATTCTATGGCAACTATTTTTGCCTGCTGCTTGGTAAACATTAAAATTGAAAACTGAAAATGAACAAGAATGAAAATAAATTAATCCAAACAAATAAGTAATCTAAGTAAATGATAAACAAATTAATAAACCCCACTCACCATTAGAATAATACAATAGACTACCCACAATGCATCACTGACCTGTATATATAAAAAGTTGACCAAAAATACAACACATATAGCCTGATGATTACATTTAGCATGAAACAGACTTCCACCTCTTGGTATTGATTTCAATGTCTACTTGTGTGTGTGTGTGTGTGTGTGTGTGTGTGTATATATATATATATATCTATATATATAATACAAATATAGATAACTATACTCGTTTCGAAAAACCCTCAAATTTTTGATTTGCCAATAATCAAATCAACCTTGTGGGGGGGGGTTAAAAAAAGAAAGAGCTAGAAACATGAAAGTCTGTCGAAAAAAAATCTAACAGATACAGGTTTGAAGCCCAAAGAAAAAACCCTGATACGAGTAAACAACTAACAAAAGAGCTCAATACAACTGTAGAGCAGACCTAGATAAACCTAGTGAGCCAGACAAAAGCCTACCTAGGTTTCACCTAAACGGATCGTCAGGAAAGGTTTATATATATATATATATATATATATATATATATATATATATAATATTTCTTTTACTAAATTATCAACAGCACTAATTTATCTTTTTTTTTCTTTTTTTTTTTTTTTGCCTTGATGAGTTCCAAAATCTTGACATGGCTGCAAACAATATGGCAGCCAATATTTTATGCCTCAGAAAATTGAAGACTTTCTCCCCACAACCACCATAAAATAGATTATTTAATATTTGCAAAAAAGTCATTTAAATATTTTAAAATTGGCTCGTCAGAAAAGCTAGAAAACTGTCTACAGAAAAAACCTATAGATGGAGTTCACAAAGAAAAATATTCTACTTTTTCCTTGTTTATTAAAAGATTTTTCTGATTTTAGAAATGTTATTTACATACATTCAAGTTTATTCTAAACAGATTCAAAAGCTGGATACCATATCTACAAAAGAGGAACGATATAGATGGAGCTTACATAGATAAATAATTTACTTGTGTTTCTTGTAACCCTCTATGATAAATCTTTGTATATATAATATACATTAAAATGAATGTTTAATTTTTTTGCCAGAACCAAAATGGAGAATATGTATTGACAGCAATGACTTCTGGTCTTCGAAAGAACTGGATGCAAGCAATAAAAATCTGTGTTGAAATGCTAAATTGGAAAGAACCACCCAAAGGCCTCAGGCGGCACCATTCTGATGTAAATCCAGGAAATGTTGGAAAAGCACTGATGATTCATCAAGTCTCTAAAAGCAGCAGTTCCGGCTACTTTAAATCAATTGATTCAGCTTTAGTAAATAGTAAAGAAAACAAAGAAAGCTTAAGCCAAAAAAACTTGCCATCTTCTGAATATGCTGTAGATTATATGCTGCCATCAAAGAGCCAAAAGTCTGGTAGCAGTGGCACTGGCACCAGCAATCTGGGTGGTGGCAGTAATTGGCTTGCTCCAATTGGCCGTTATGTTGAAGGCAGTGATAATGCCCTCCTTAGTGGGGACCTGCACAAGAAGAAGCTTGAAAGATCTGAAAACCGTTACCTGCCTCATCGAACCAAGTCCCCAAGTGCCCGGGTTAAAGATAAGACCCGCTCAAAGCTGCCCAAGCTTTTATCCCCACCCCCTGAAACGGAGCAGCAGGGTTATAAGATTGACTCGTATTCTGCTCATGTTGAATCTGGTTCTTCAGAGGAATATCATCATTCAGCAGGTTTGGTAAGTGATTCGAACTGACTTTTAACTAACAATGCAATGGGTGTTTTTTTTTTTCTCTCTCAGTCCAATTCCCTCGTCTTTACTGGTTGTTGACTGTTAGAGGTAAATTAGTATTAGAAACTATCTTTAACTATAAATATATACACATGTAAACCATAGATAATTCTATATGGATCTATGTTTGTAAAAACACTTGATGCTGTCCATGTCTTTGATTTCACTAATGCCATCCTAATTAAAAAAAAAACAAAAACAAAAAAAAACAACATAATTCTTTAAGGAGAAAATACATTGAAAACTTAATAACATTACCAACTATAAACAGACACCCAAAACATTACATTACCAGCTTTCTTTGAATCCATTCTTAAAGAATCTAACTTGTATCTAATACAAAGAGTGCACATATAAAACAGAATAATGGAGTGCCACTCCCATTCCACCGACTGACCACACAAAAGTGAAAACATTAGAACTCCTCCTACTAAACAGACACGCATACACAATTATGAATATATATTACCATGTGATGCCCACTTAGACATACAAGAATCTTTACAAACTTACATGCATTTAGAATTATCTATGGTTTTAATAAATGTGGTACAAGACTGACCAATGAGAATTGATCCAAACAAAATTGAAAATATCAGTGTTTTCTGTCTTTGTCTTTCTTCTCTCAATCTCAAAGGAAGCTTTAATAAAAGTGAAACATGTTAGATTGATAAATGTTTTCTATCTGTTCTTTATCTTCTATAATTTTTATCTCGAAGTTCCATATCTAAAACCTAAACAAACCAATTTCTAAAGAATTAATGTATTTATTTTTAATCTGACATGTTTATTACTTCAAACATTATTTTTTGTGGATACTCATATATGAAATAGACACCCCACTTTTATTTTAGACAGTGTATATTACATCTCTCAGGTGTGTGCATTTGAGAAATCTTAAAGAAAATGTGCTCTCTGGCAAGGATCAAACCTACATCCCTCTTTGTAAGAGAAACCACTGTTTTATCTGGGGTATCACATGGATACAGTGAATCTTACAGTCCAGCAAGGCTTCATTTTCCTTATTTGAATGAGGAAGTGTGCTCTCCTTGCTGAATTCTGACACTCTCTGTAGCTGAATGGTAATTAATATAAAAAACCCCAATAGAATTAAAAATAGATGCTAAAATATTTTTCCTTTTAGCATTATATAATACATTTCTAACAAATATAACAATATATTTGCAACAAATGATGTGCTGTCCTGGGCATGACAATAAACTACATCCGACAGTAAGGCTTCTGATCAGGAGGTTTTAATTGCTGGTGTTCCCAGGTTCACCCTGACCCGGGGTGATAGCACTTGTTAGGGTCCCAGCTGTGGGCAAATAGTTAACCCCTAAACTGTTGTCAAAAGACTATAAAAGTTTAAAAATAGGTTTTAATACCAGAAATAAATTTTTGTAAAAAAAATTATCAGAAATACATTATTACCAGCAATACATTTTTGGAAAAAAATATTACAAGCAATAAAAAAAATTTTGTCAACTCGAAATAACCCATTGAGGTTGATATGCTGTAAATCAAACCAAATACCGTGTATCATACATTGAGATGAAAGATTGCTAAAAAGTTTCTCCAACCCCTCTCCCAAGCCACTTATCGAAATCAGATGAACTGACCTAACATCATAATTTTCTTGGTCAAGTTAACAGCCCCTCCCCATGTGTGTGCCTCTCATGCATGCATGCATGCATATATATATATATATATATATCTTTCTATAAAAGGCAGGATGTGTGTGTGTGTGTGTGTGTAACAAATGTGTGGCTGCAATTTTCGACAGATTTGCACCAAAATTTCCATGCACATGCACCAAGTTAGCAGGAAGACCAAGACCAACTTTGCATTACCCAACTCCCATCGATAGTGGAGATAATCAATTTTTTTCATGCTTCTATGGCAGTTTTCATGTAGTTTGTGGCCATTTTGTACTGACCAGAGTAAGAGCCTATAGCTGGCTGCCACGAATAGGCAGGAAGATTCTATTGGTCAGTGTGAGAGCCAACAGCTGATTGACATGAATGTTAACTAGCATGCAAAAAAAATTGATAGCTGCATTCGTCACAAGTGGGAAAAATTTAAATCTGCATGGCACTTTACTCCAATTGGCTCATTCGCTTGCTTAAACTCAACGTTGATTCTGCAGAACTGGGTTGGGTGTGAAAAAGTATTTAACATTCTTTTTTCATTCGGTTTTTCCAGTTACGAGTCCTTTTTTTAAAGCTGATCGTTTTGTGTTCATTTTGTTTAGTTCTTTTTTTGTAACAGATTTAATGTTTAGTATAGAGTTTAGAAAAAATTTGCAGTGTGAGATAGGCAAGAAGGTAAGACATGTAGAAACATCAGCATGGCAAAGGGCACTCCTTTTAAAGGCAAGGAAGGGCAAAAATATTTTAAGTCAAGTGATAGCGATTGCTGTATGAGTCGTATGATTTTTGAATTGAGCACAGGCAACGCTGCTAATATATATATATATATATATATATATATATATATATATATGTGTGTGTGTCCACAGACCTGCCAGTTACTCATATTTTTCCAAGCAAACCAGCCTGCTCTGGCACATTTGTGTGTGTTCAATACCTACTGAGCCCACCTGTAGTTTATACTGCAACTAAGCTGAGCAGACCTTAGTTACAGTTTCTGGGAGAAAGCACATAAGTTGGAAGATCATCATTTTGATATAAACCCTCAGTCATAAACTTGTAACTTTGTGCTAACACAAGCACTGATGGCCTCCAAACAGTTGTATCTACATGATTTCACTCACGAGGCTTTGGGTTAACCCAGCGGTTTACAGGCACTTTCCAAAACTGCCACACAATTAGATTGCCCCAATGCCAATAATATTATGATATATGAACCACAGTGAAATTTGAACCTGGGTCTCATGGTTGGAAAGTAAATGTTCTAATCACTCAGCCACACCTCCATATTTATTCTCTCTCATTCTCACACACACGCACACAATATAAAACAAATTATAAAACCGTTAGATACAATTTTTAAAAACTGTTCATCTCTTCATGGTTTAGAATTAACTCGAAATATAAACCTTTTGATAAATAATTTGAATTTAAGACAGTGTAATTCAATATTAAATGTTTATGAGTACACCTTAAAATATTGAAACAAATTCATCAAATACTGATTATCCCAATTAAATCTTTTCTTAATCACACGTTAAATGCCATCTTTGCCAAGATTAGCTGACATACTTGATGTTTTGACACATTGGATAAAACTTATGGTAGAAGAAATCTTAAATATTTGGAAATTGTGACAAATATAATTTAAATATTAAAAAAAGGTGTAAATATCAAGATTAGAAAACATTATGTCCCATAATAGTTGGTACATTTAGTGTATGAAATGTGTATGCAAATTATGAGACAGGTAATAATAAATAATTCCAATCCCAAGTTGGAAGGATTGCTGCTAATTCTAAGCTGGTTCTCTTTAATCCTGATATGCTACAGTGTTTCCATAGAAATTGATTGCAATATATTAGACTACCTCTGTCCCATTATGGTTGGTACATTTGATGTATGAAATATATACACCAAACATTATGGGACAGTTTTTTATTTTATTTTAAATTCTTAAGGACTTCAGAGTAATATTGTTTCTTTTAATATTTTAGTTTTTTTATGTCCTTTCAGTATCTAGACTTATTCATGGTTTTAAATTCAGACTTATCATTCTCCAAGATTGCTTGTCCTACCAAGGCTAAAAAAAAATCCCTTTTACTTTACTGTTTTACCCATATATATGAGGGGAAGAAATCTTACATTTCTCAAGAGGTTTGTGTAAAGTGAACACTTTGAAGCCTCTGTTGGAATTTGAATCCTGCTTGCTGAGCCCATTTTCTGTACGATTGAAAACCTGAATAAATAAATAAATGCTTGTCTTTCCTTCAGACGTACATCCATTTGTTACTTGTATTAGTTACTGCCGTTAGCCAGTGACAATCGTTTCTAGTAGCTTAATGTCTAATTGATCAAAGGTTATGGTGATTAATTTTAGAGTAGCTGAATTCTTTTGGAGGAAAACTTCTATTTAGTTTTGTCAGTCTTTTCCATTCATTTTTTTTTTTTTTTTTTTTTTGATACTTGTTGCTTTTGTAAATCTCCAGTTGGTTAATATAAGTTCATTTATTTTGAACAAATTCTAAATTTTCATTTGTAATAACCGGTAGTTTTTGCGGGTTTTTTAAAAAAAATTTTATTTATTTTCATTTTTTAAAATTTTTTATTTTTTTGTTAATTTTGATTTTATGCAGTTGCAGAAAACAGTAATAGGACTACTAGTCTACTAAGACAAATGAAAATGTACAAAATTCCATTTCTTAGTGTCACTGTTGGATTCAAAATGTCTTTGTTAAAAGAATAATCTTATAATCTTGAAGTATTGAAAAAGAAAAAAACTAAAAATAAGGCAATGTTCCGACAAGCAACATTTTCACTTCCCGAGTAAAAACAGATTTTGACTTGGGAAAAAAAAAAAAAAAAGAAATTTTAAATTAAGAATTTTGAGTGGGCAGGCAGAAAGGACAAATTTTAATTTTTAATTGCCAGACTAAATGGAATAAGAGTGTCACTATAAAACAAAGGGAGATAAATCACTTCATATATTTATTTTTTTTTTTTAAATGACTTTTTCATCTAATTTCAGGAAATTGTTTCATGTTCCAGAAGTTAATGGTAAAATGAGTTTCATTCCAAATGTTTATATCTGATTTACTTCAAGGAGTTGGTCTTTTTTATTTTCCTCCTCCCATTTATTGTAAACATCTGAATATTCATGTTGGTTTTGGCTCTTTAATTTTCTTTCATCTTATTTGTGGCAAATCTTCTGATGTTCAATGCACATACCACAAAGTTTTTCTTGATTGAAAGATATTTTCTTTGTTTATAAATTTTATTGCATTCAAAATGTTTTCTTTTTTAATGTCTTATTACAGATTTACTTTGTATCTTGAGATGAGTTTTTTATTTTTTTATTTTTTTTTTTTATTTTTTTTTTGACACAATATCTTAAAATTTATTAGTTATTTACCTATTATTGATCTTTGTCTTTTCCCTCACTTTTGCTTCACTCTCTCATATACTCTCTCTTTCACATACTCTCACTCTCTTTACTCCCTTTGTTTTCTCCTTCTCTGTCAAACTTTTACTCCATCCAATTTTTCTTTTTAAGTTTAAATTTACTTTATGCCAATGTTTATTTTACCATACTGTAATGTTGAATTTTTATTTGTTGCTATGAATTTTTTTAAAATGTTTTGCTTTCTAGAATATGGACAGGAAATCTTGTTAAAATTTCTTATTGATAAATATTTTCTTTAATCATCTTTTTTTTTTTTTTTTTTTTTCTGAATGTGTTTGAATTTTGGTAGATTTCTTTATGACTTAAACCAGTGCCAATTACAAGACATCCTCAGAAGGAATGAAAACTGGAAACTCAACAGATTTTTATTTAGATCATTTCTTCAAGAAAAAGAAAATACAAAGTTTTTTTTTTTTTTATATATACTATCAAATACAGTAAATCTTCCTAAATTTAAACTTTGAAATTATTAAAACGTTCTTGATATGTCCTTCAAAAAGAAAAATCCTTGCTTTACAAGAATTATTGTCTTATTTTAAAAATTATGAACAAACTGTTACCCATGAATTTACCAAATAACTTGTAAGTAAATATCCAGTTTCCTTACTGTTTTGTAATTTCATTAGACATTTAGCTTTGTTTGCTTAAAATTTGTAAATATTTTAATTATCCTGAATTACTTAACATAACCTTTTTAGTCATGTCATATAATCTCTTGTGTATCTGCTATAAGATGCAAATTATGAAGTTGAGTAGGTTTAAGAAAAAAAAGGAATTTAAATATTTAAGTATATACACAATGTATTTTATTCTTTTTAGTATGCCTGTTTAAGGGAAAAGGTTTCATCTTTATTTTTCCAATAGATTTACAAGGAACGGATGAACTGTTATATATTTCATCTTTTTATTGCATATATTTTTTTCAATTATTCAATTTTCATACAAAGGATGAAGATAACTCTAAGTGACATGTTTGTTAGATAAATATTGATTATCTACAAGTATATTGAGTAGTTTTGTTGGTGTAACTATTTTTGTTTTCTATTGTAATGGCTACTATACATTAGCAAAAGGTCATACACATAGAGAGAAAGACACACACACACACACACACACGATATGCCGATGGTGTAAAGGATGGTAGTTCGAATTGAGAGATTGGAATAATTTGATATCCAGCTGACTTCATTACATTAACTTTCATGTAAAATACTCTTGTGAAATCCATCTCTTCTCCCCCCTCCCCCCTGTAGTTATGGGTTAAATACTAGGGCAGACTGTCTATGGTTGACAATCACTGTAAGAAAAAGGAAACTGAAAACCTGGGGATGTGGCACATACGATACAGCTATCAATGTCAGGGAGATTACACAGACTATAATCTCATTACCAGCAATACATGTTTTAAAATATTATTACCAGCTATACATTTTTGAGGAAAAAAATATTGCCAGAAATAGATTTTTGACAAAACAAAATATTACCGGGAAGAAAAAAAAAGTTATTGGCATTAAATAACCCATTAAGGTTGATATGCTGTAAAACACAACAAAGCAAACCAAACAAAAGGAAAACTTTATTAATGTGTTTTGTCCTTTGATAAGCTCTTCATGGGATAAAATGTATTGGTCAATCTTAGTTTTTGGCACCACCAAACTGTATGTATATATATATATATATATATATTGTCACATGTACAAAAATCAAATAAATTAAGTTTTTTGTCTTAGCAATTCATCCCTGAAGATGATCTTGGATATGATTGGATGGTTGTGTGGGTTTGGATGGATTCATTCTTTCTTTCCTTCCTAACATCAGAAGAGTCCAAGGTCTTAATCATCCATCTCTGTATTGGAATCTTCTGCAGACGGTAGCATGAGAATCTGCCAATCTTGAGGCACAAAATTCCTTAAGAGGCATCTGACAAGTTTATATCTTGTAAAATTTTTAGCTTCCACATAAAAAGATAGTAATTTTTTTTTGTATAATGTAAAAAAACTGAAATATTTATTTTTTGACAGAAAAAGAAACTTGTCCTATCATAATATGCTTAGTGTAATGTGAATAATATACATTTGAAATTTTGACAAAAATCACTTATTAATCTTAATTTGAATATATTTTTTTCTCAACAAACAAGTCACTTAGGATTATTTTCCTCCTATAATATTTTTAATTGCAATTATTCAAACCTCTTTGACTTTTATTCCAATTCGTATGCTCATTAATATTGTTTTGATGTTGAACATTCTCTTAGAGGAAAGTCTACTACAGAATTATACGTGAGAGAAAAGCTGAAAAATACACTGGCTAAAAAGAAACGATGATTATAAACATTCAAATTATTAAAGAAATGATTTATTTCAGAATGACAAATGTTTCTTACAAAATCAGTTCCAATTAGCATTATTTTACATTTTTTTTTTTTTTTTTAAATTTTTTATGATGTTGTTTGTATTTTTAAAATTGTTTAATTAAATAAATGTATGCTTACCAAACGGAACACACAGCAAATTGTCTGCAACTGATAAATAAAATTGTAATTCCTCTTATAAGAAGTAGGAAATAAATATTGGATTCTGATCGTATGTAATGTTTTTGGTCAGGGTGAGTGCAGGAAGCTGGTGGGTGGGTTATGCAGCCTGAGTGATTTTGGCTTTCAAGAACTTTCATTTACAGTCGATTATTTTTCGATGGTTTTAGGATCATAATGTTCCGTCATTTATGGATTCTCCTGAAGACCACCCTGATGGTTCATTGTCTGCAGGGGATGGGATGCTCGTTGATTTGCTCGAGACAGAGGTAAAGCAACAATCACTTTGTTTTTGTTTTCCTTTGCATTTATTGTAAATGGCTTGCTTTGAATGACTTTTTGAATTGGCCTGTCAGTTTGTTGCTGCACTACAGAGCTTTGTATGTCTTGTAGTTCTCCTAATTGTTATGCACAAGTTGCTTTTTCTTTGATCTTTCTCACCTTTTTTGAAATTTTCTGTGTGTTTAGTAGCTTTTTCTTACCTTACCCCACATGCCAGATTAGTTACCAAATATCAATGTATAGCATTAATTCTGTGGCAAAATACCATCTTTATATATGAAGGGAAATAAAGTTAATCTGTTAGGAGGAGATTATCATTAATTAATCTTAATCTGTGACTATCTTAAGCCAAAAATCGTTTTGTACATTTTTGCACAAATAAAATTATTTTTTATAGTTTGAGATCTTTCAGTAGTAGTAAAAGTCATTTAAATAGATTTATTGTGGTGACAAAAGGTCAGTCTATAACTGAGATTGAATAAGAAGAATACACTAGGCAAAAGGATGTTTGCTAATTGACAATGATAAAATGGGCAAAAGTGCTCAATAGTTACAAAAACAAAAGAAAACTGAATTCTATTGCAGGATAGTATGTCTGAAGCTTCACTAGGTATAAGAAAAATCCAAAATATCCCCCCACACACCAAAAAAAAAAACAAACCAAAAGTAGGTGGTGATGGTTTAATGGGTTGGAGCTGCATCAAAAGTGCTGGCTCACCAATGCTAATAAAAATCAATGGAGAACTGACCATTGCAAAATATATTAATATTTTTTGTATTTTTTATAATCATTTCACCCCAAGCAAGGTTGGAATGCCCCTAGCATGTGGTAGAGGAGTTACAGGGGGTGAAGGTGAAGATTGAGTAAAGGACAAAAAGATGAATGGGATTCAAGATGGAAGATGGTGATTGACATTGCATTTAAATTTTTGAAAATTATAGTTATCAAGGAAGCAAGTAAACGAAATTGAGCTTCACAGGTGGTAAGTACAAGAAAAGAAATTGTTGGAGTAGTAGTGGCAGTTGCATTTAGCTATTTCAGCAGTAAATGGGTGGGTCCTAGTTGCCAATCTAGTAGCATGCATAAATTCATGTTGTCTATATTCTTCCAGGAGTTTTATATAGTTTAGACTGTGTAGAGATATACATTTAAAAACTTCCAATTCAAATTGAAACCTTCCAAAACCATATGATGCATCCCCTCTTTGATAACACCTATAGCAAATCCTTGTAACTATTTGGCTGTATTAAAAAGATCTAGTGTGGGTTTCACTTTATCGTGCTTGGAAAAAGAAGTGGGTTCAGAGGAAATGGGAGCTTTAAGCACTAGTGTCAAGTCAACCTTTATGATATTTTATATATCTTATCTATCAGTGGTGACTCTAGGTGATCACTGTTTCTTGGTTTCATTACAATCTTTAACAAAATATACTATTACTATAACTTAGATGCTAAAATGATTACTAAAATATATAATTTTTAAAAATCTCTAATCAGATAATTTTTTTTTTTTAAAATGACGTGTGTTAAGTCTAGAGTGTGTGGTTGTATATATGTCTATGCATTAGTGTGTTTATGTATCTCTCTGTCTGTGAATTTTTAGCTTAATTTATTGTATGTTTTTGGGTCAGTAATTGTGGCTGCTGACTGATATCATATTTCCTCAAGACTCAACAATTCCAATCACACTCCTCACCCCAACCCTCCAGTTGATGCTTTGATTTTTGCTGACTTATGGCTGGGCTAAATTTAATTTGCCCTTTTTCTTCAATTGATACATTGTGCTAAAAAAACCTTATACTGGATGGAATAAATTATTTAAAATGGACATTTGGAAGCAATAAGTTGAAATAAAAATAGTCTTTGAAAAACAGGGCATTTTTTTTTTTTTTGTTTTTTTTTAAAAGTCATTAGAGATTTTAAATTAAATATAAAATACATTGCCTATTAAGATTGTCTCCAGCTTAGATCAGGTAAAGACCTACACAGCTCAACTGGACAGCCCAGATCAGGCAAAGACCTACACAGCCTGAATGGCTTAATTTTATTTCATTCTTTCTTTCTTTTTTATTATGAACAATATAAACGAAATTTATTTCGTTTGGTCAATATTTTTGAATTTTTTCTTGTTGAAGTCATGAATGAAAACAATGCACTACAAAAGATTTTTGTTGCTTTGAAATAGATATACTCACTCGAGCTGAACCCAACAAGCTCAACCACCAGAGTCGCCATTGAGATATATATGGGTAAAAATGCTCAATATCAGTGATAAAGTGTGTGTGTGTAAATATGAAAGTGGACACTGAGGTCAACACCATGTAACATTGTTTTATGCTTTGAATGCCATGTTCAGAAAGTGACTAACCAGTCAGGTGCCTAGAAAAGGAAGTAGAGGACAACCAAGACAGAATTGGAGGGATAACAATTCTGTGGTCATCAAATAATGAGTCACAGACATGAAACAAGATTGTAATAAATGGCAGGAAATAGGGTAGAGTTAGTTTGCAATTTGCCAAAGTGATGGATGAGATTTTGAAAAGATTTTCTGAAGTCTCTAAGATGAACAAACTTTTTTTTTTCTTTTTTTTTTTTTCTTTCTTATATAATTTTATTTTTATCATGTGCATTATTTAACACTTTAGAAAATATTTTTTTCTGCAAATTTGGCTGAATTTTTATTTTTAGTAAAATCAAATTTATTTTTTCACTCTCCGTGTTTGTCACCCCAACCTGCATGTCAGAATTCGAACATGGCTGAACTTGGCTTTGTTAGTATTAATTAAATCAGCATGAACTTGCAAACATTTGATGTTACTCTTGCTTGCTTTTGTAGCATGTGAATACAACAGGAGAAAAAAAAAATCCTCTAAATCAAGAATATCCCATAACTTTACCATAATTACGCATCCCATAATTTTACCATAATTACATATCCCAATAGAAAGAAAAACCAATGACAGACCAATTTCATTATTGATGTGCTAATTTTTCTCAATTTTCCTTGATTCTATTATCTCTCAGCATATCGGTTATAACCACCTTATGATCATTCTCTTTTGTCTTCTTGGCTAAAATAAATGAATTAGTCATATAACATCTGATTTTAAATTGAATTTTTGCCCAGAGGCAGTAGCAATCTCAGAAATGCCAGGTTTAATAAAATAAGTTTAATTTGGGATACATCTGTGAAATAGATTTATGATTTTTATACTATGGATGCCCAGACAGGCATAAAATTACAAATTACTCTCTTGCCAGTGTCTAACTGTCCCAGTTGTTTTAAGTCATACTGAAAAACTGTGAATATTCAAGTGAAAACAATGTGGTTATTGCATAACAAGGCTTTCATGCCTTCTATTTGAAGTATAATCAAGGGAAGAAAGAACAAAACAAGAATTTTAAAACCCTTTTGAATTTTAAAACTTGATTAATTTTTTGTTGAAAATCTTTTAAAAGAATTTTAATTTATATATTTTTTCCTTCAAAAATATAATTTAAAAAGTAAAATGAAAGTCACTAAACAAAGCTATTTATTTATTAAGTTTATTAAGGTATTAACTTTTTATAATATAAAACTTGATAACAAAGTAACATTTTGTTCACATGGATTTTATAAATAAGATTTGTTAAAGGAAAATATTTCTGCCTTTTTCTCTCTCTATATCTTTCTCTCTCTATATCTTTCTCTCTCTATATCTTTCTCTCTCTATATCTTTCTCTCTCTATATCTTTCTCTCTCTATATCTTTCTCTCTCTATATCTTTCTCTCTCTATATCTTTCTCTCTCTATATCTTTCTCTCTCTATATCTTTCTCTCTCTATATCTTTCTCTCTCTATATCTTTCTCTCTCTATATCTTTCTCTCATACATTTTTTATATATATATATAAACAATAGATTTTGGGCTACAGGTGTCAGTCTTATAACAGTTTGCGTAATATTCTAATTGATATATAGTTATATAGTCCTGGGTATGACAATAAGCTACATCTGGCAGCTAAGCCTCTGATTGGGACATTGGAGATTTTCAGGAATGTAATACCATCTCTTAATTGCTATTGTTCCCAGGTCCATCCTGACCAGGAGTGGCAGCACCTGTTAGGGTCCCAACTATGGGCAAATAGTGAACCCCTAAACAAAAACAAAACACTATGGAAGTATAAAAATACATTTTTATAGTAAAAGTACCAACAATACATTTTATCAGAAGTTGAAGCCATAAAATTGTGTTCAAAACATTTAAATTTTGGCATTAAAACCCATAGGGATGTTGGTATGCCACTATTCAAAATCAACCCACCAACAATCTAATTAATATAAAAGCTTAAAAGATTAAAACTATTTGACTGATTGAAATCTTAAAATCTCTTTCTCCCTACAAAAGTCTAGTCTATTTTTATCCAGATTAAATTTCTTCAGAGCAGAGATTAATGAAAACATTTTCATCCTCTGACTTCCTTTTATAATTCTTACTCACTTGACATTGATACAGAGAGATAATCCGTGAAACATGTTGGAATTTAAATAAAAAAATTGATAATATTTTCAGTATTTATTTCCATCCATGATAGATTTTAATCTAGAAATGACATAAAACCAGCATCTAAAACAAAACATTTTCACTAGTGTATAAAAATCACCAGTGTATCAATTAGTGAGTTATGTGCCATAGATGATAAACGCTTAGGCAATCATGTATCTTTTGATACATGACTGACAAAGCAATTTTTTTTTTTTTTTTTTTTTTTCCCATAGTAGGTTATTTCTTTCTGCGGTAGACCAGTTGCCATCCAAGGCTATAGAACCTGGTCTGTCCTGCTATTTACCTATAGCTGGTGGGGAAGAAGAGGATTCATACCTTTCCAAAGGGTATTAGCACGTAAGTGAATGTAATGGATTCGACTGGAATTCAAACTCGCTACTCGGATTCCTCAATCCGAGCTGCTATCCATTACTCCACTGTGCCACCAGTATATAGAAATTAAATTTTTAAATATTAGATACTTACTAATTACAAAGAAAATGCCCACCTCCCAGAAAAAAAAAATACTATTTAGGTAATTTTATAAATTTTGTGTACTTGTAAAACTTTTTTTTATAACTGGTTAATCATTGTCAGCTGAAGTTCTTGACTCCCTATTTTCTGTTTGTGTGTATGTATCTATATACAAGAAAAAAATGTCTAAATATTCTAAGTTTTGGTTTTAATTTGGATTGCATTATTGTAATTGAATCTATAAAACTTCAAAGTATATATATATATATATGTGTGTGTGTGTGTTATATGGAGAGATAAAGGATGAATATTATTTTTACTTACATTATTTACATTATTTGAACTGTTATCCTCATCTTCATTGCCATATTCACAACGTTTCAGCTGTTGTACACTCTGGCCTTCTTCAGGTGATTGGATATTTGGACCAAACCCTTTATTTCATACACCAGGGTATATTGTTCTAGTTCCACATGCCGTGCCTCTTTTTGCATGGCTCAGTTATTTGCCTTTAACTCGACTCTCCGTTTTTGGTTCACCACTGCTGTAGCATGGTATTGAACTCACAACTCTTTGGGTCTAGTCACTTGATCTAACCAACGCCTTTATCCACTGGGACCTGTCCTAAAGGGTTCAGTTCGAAATTCCAATCACCTGAAGAAGGCCAGAGTGTACAACAGCTGAAACATTGTGAATATGGCAATGAAGATGAGGATAACAGTCTAAATAATGTAAGTAATGATAATACCTCATCTCAGAGATATAGACGAATATTATTTTATAGAATATATTTGCATACAAGTATGAAAGACTTTACTTTCAACAAACCGATTTAGACTCGGTCAAAAAAAAGAGTTCTATTTTAATGTTGAGAAAACAGAAAAGGTAAACAAAATGTCTTGTTTCTTTCCATTCTTTGTTTTCATGTTAATTCACTTTTTACTGGATTGTCTTCCCTGGATAAATTTTTTCCTAAATTTTATCACTTGCAAGATAGCTTGAATATAAATTCAATTTGTGATTTATCTGCGAGGTCCCTTCTTCGACATTCATAAATCTTTGCTTAAATTTCATAAAATTTTAATCCTTCATTGATGAAATGTCATAAAACAATTTGATACATGTCACTACTATATGGAAGCTATCAAATGTTCCTCAGGCTGATTCAATAGTGTCTAAACTGCCCCTCCAATCTATTACCAACTGATATCACAAGATTTAGTTATAAACACATCTGGCTGGCCAGACTGTCTATTTAAAATGCTTATTTTCTATAATTATTGCTTGTGATTTTTTTTGTTTACCAAAATGAATTCTTAATGAAAGAATCTTAGAGTTTGTTTAGAAATAATTTTTATAGGGAAGAAATCAATCCAACACAATTTATTTTAAAGATTTTACCTATTATGCTTATCTGATTTAATTGAAATTTGAAATTGCTGATTCCTTGTAGGCTGTTGAGTTAAGATTTCTTTGATGAGGGGAAAGTAATCTCTTACTGACTTGAAATTTTTAAAACATTTCATCTCTCTTAATTGATATTGTCTCTATTCATTGTGTTATGTCCATGTTAAGGAAATTGTCAAATGAATTTTCTTTTCCTTTTATTTCTACTCAAAAGAATTAATCAGGTGAGGTTGAAATATTTCCTGTATTTGCTGACCTATAAGACTGTCTCAAATTTACATTTAATCTTACAATATGGTGAAAGTTAATGATTTATAGGCACTTGTATCTCTGTGAATATACACCTATCAACTTTGTATATAAAACTCTGAAGATATTTCTGGATAGAAAAGGAGAGGTCTATCAAATATGGTTTTTAAATTAACATTGTTGTAGATTTCATTAAAAAAGTTAAATGTTATAAAAAGGCAATAAAATATGAAAACAGCCAAATTAATGTGTAATAATGAAAATATTTGATATCTTGTCGATCAAGTGTTAAAATTTAAATTGGTTGTTGTTCATCATAGCTCTTGTTTCATTCTAGAATTCAATATGCATTAGAGAGAGAGATAAAAAAACCTGCACCAAGATTTGTGAACTTGTTTTTTTTTTTGTTTTTTTTATTGCACTGTTTTAGTGAACTTAAATTGGCCAATCAGCAGAAGCCATCCAAATTTAGCCATATAACACATACACAATTTCTCCTAATGCCAATATATTACCTTTTTTATTTTCATTTTCCATGAGTAGTATTAGATATAATAGTATGTATAAAAATTTCAGATAGATTAAAGATAGATTAGACAAAAGGAAAGCTTATCTTAGCTGATGCGTTTCATTCTCTGTGAGACTTTTCCGACACATTTCATCCTCTTCTATAACTCGTTAACTTTATCCATGTTGTAATAAATTATTAATTTTTTAATTATTGTATCTTTAATTTTAATTTATCTTCCTTAACAAAAACTTCAGCTTCTCATTCAGTGATTAGATAATAAGCTTTGAGAGCCACTCAAGATAGAGGCTTACTGTTAAAATGGTTGTGATTAATGGGGTATGTGATTTGACTGAAAAAGGATAGAGGATAGATAAAGAGTTCCCCTTGACTGGAAGAGGTTAAGATTATAGGAAGTTTGTTCAGTAATGATTCTTATGGGGTGTTAGATTTTAAATGTAAATTTTGACATTTAAAATAGTGGGGGGAATGAAGGTGATTCAAGTCTCTGGAAGTAGAATGTTGTCTTAGCTGTAAAGGTCTGAACTGGTGGAAGTAAAGAATGGAGCTCATCCAAACACTTGGCATGGAAATAGTGATAGTCGCAATAGACATGTGGTGTTGTGTCGATGAGGAAAGAGGTTGCAGTGTGTGAAATAAGACCCCCCCCATCACAATATAGTGTAAGAGATTTTTACCGCTATTAAAGCTGAAAAGTGAAGATTATGCAGCTCCAGGCCAGATAAGGCAGCAAGTCTGTTTTTGGTCTAATCTGACTCTTGTAAAGATAAAACCTGACTAATTTCAAAAGTATTAACATTCTTTTTAAGCAAAGAACTTAACCTTCATAACCAGAAAACCCTGAAAAAGGACAGTTATTCCTTTGACACTGATATTATCATATGTGACCAGGATTTCTTTGGCAACGTTTCTTTACAAGATTATAAAAATGTCAACCAAATCCAATGCAATATTTATTATTTACCATTGTATAAAGAAATAAATTTGAAGAAAATTCTTTTTATTCAAAAATCTATAATAAAAAAAAAAAAATTAGAAAATTATCAAAACATGTCAACCAATGACAATGCAATATTTATTACTTATCATTTTATAAATATCAATGAATGTATTGTTTTTGTTTTAATAATTTTATAAAAATATCAATGAACTATGATTTTCCAAACATACAATTTCTCAGTTATTTTATATTTCAAATTACTTTTTAATTTTTTTTTTTTTTTTTACAATTGCAATCTAGGATAAAGGATATGCCTAATCAATGGAAATTCTAAGCCGGACATTCCAGTCATTATAAGCCACCCCCTCCTTTTTATTTATTTTTCTGAAAAACATTATTTTGAAAAAGTTTTAAATTGTTGCTAGCAGTAAGACAGTTAAAAACTTGAGGCTGCAATGAAGCAAGAAGACTTGTAGAATTTAACACTTACAGGTCTCATTGAAGGCAAAAGAAAGTTCAAACTTGAGCAAATGGGTAGAAGAAGTGCCATGAAAACTGGAGGGTGGGGTCATAACAGAAGAAAATGGGAATCTGTAGAAAATCGTAGCCCACATTCTGAAAGGTTATGACATATAAAGGTCATACCCTTTTTTTATTACTTGCACAAATTTATTAAGATTAACTTAATCTTGCACAGTGGGCCACTCAATGAGAATCAAAAACTCAGCAGCTATGGTTGGCTCACCTTTGCACAATGGCTAGCATCCAT